TAGATATTTCGTTCGATACGGGTTTTTTTACAGCATTTTTTTCTATAACTATCTTGAAACAATACACACGGAATCCAGTGTTCAAGCTGCCAACATAGGCTTTTTTTCTTTATTCTTTCTGCCGTATTGTCAATTGTATTTTTTTATTCCTTCTGCCGTATTGTCAAAGACATTTATTCAAATGGGTCAAGTCTTGAAAACAAAGCTGCTTAACACCCAATAAAGAAAAAAAATTAAAAAAAATCTACTACTGTAATAATGTTTGCACCATTGAGCAATGCCAAAATTAAAAATATTCTCAAAAATTTCGTTTCCGAGTTTTTTTTTATTTATTCAAAGGGGGGATGTTTCTCAGAGTCTTAAACTATGTTAATCGTCGATCGAGTTTCCACTTGCTGCAATTACGGCCTCCACACGCTTTCGGAATGCACGACAGGTTCTAATCATGGGTCAATGTTTGTCTGAGGCTTGCTGAACTCGGGTGGTGTTTAGAACAGGCCTTGACCTTCATGACGCGCCATATTGAGTAATCCAGCGGATTAAGATCGGGGCTGGATGGCGGCCACATATCCTTCGCCCAGAACGGAAGATGTTCCTGCAACCACTTCTGAGTGCGGTTCGAGGTGTGGCACGGAGCCCCATCTTGTTGAAATACAACATTTGGATTCGGACCGTACTGTTCTTTGATCCACGGAAGAACATACTTACTTAAAACCCCGATGTGGACCTCCGTGTTGACCTTGTCGCCTTCTAGAATGAACACCGGGTCCATTTTTTTCCATCGGAAGCCACCAATCCAAACACCATAACGCTAGCAGGATGCTTGGTCAGATACACGTTCTTGTGCTCGTCGGCCACGTATTTTACCGGAAGAGAACTAATATACCGGTCGGTTCTGGAATTTGATACGGGATCGACGGTAAACATGCTCTCGTACCGTGAAGAATCGCGAGATGCGAAGAGCTGGACGGGTCCGAGTGTTGTCATCCTAAACAGCTCCCAGTGAATCATTCGAGGCGATGATTCGGATCCGGAGCTGAGCTGATAAGCTGGAGAGCTGCATTTCGCTTTTCAGTTATTTGCTTTTGTGCGGATCTTCCGCTCCCCCAGAGAATGATGGTAGAAGAGGTGAGAGCACATATGCTCGAGGCTTAACATCAGCAATTAGAGTCGGGTAGATAAATAAATTGGATAATACCAGAAGAAAATTAATATCGTGTAGCATATCGTGTTGTATTACGCGCGCGTCTTGGTTTACGCGGTGACTATTCAATGTGTAAGTGGAGTAATGAGTCCTTTTTTGAAAAGTTCCGCTATGAGTGATGGATTGGATGGTTTAGACTTTTGATATCAGTGAGCTGATGAGCTGCGGTTCCTAAAGAATGAACCGCGGGTCATCAGCTCACTTAAGAGAACCGGGTCTATAGAACAGCTCGGGAGTGGATCACCCATCTCTACTACAACGTAGAGCGAACTACGAAACAATACAGGGTCTTCAAACAGTGAATATCCGAGAATTCTTTTGCAGCACAAAAACTAAAACTAAAAGTAACAGTAGATTTTCTCTTTAGAGATGTTCCGGCAATTGTGTAATCAGAGTGTACCCCATTAGGCATAAATACGTTAGGCATACGGACGTTAGGCATACGGACGTTAGGCATAATGGACGTTAGGCATAAAGTCATTAGGCATAATGGACGTTAGGCATAATATACGTTAGGCATAATGGACGTTAGGCATAAAATACCTTGCTGCTGTGCAACTCTAGAAACCTGCTTAACCTGTAAACCTGTAAACAACGCTTAAATTAGGCTTAGCGTTGAATAAAAAATGATACAAGTTAAACAAACATAGTTTATTTAATAAGCACAGTTTGGAATCCATTATTTATCATATCATAAGTGACGTATCTACATATTTACTTAGATCCATGATTAGTAGCGATAGTGGTTAAGTAATCTTACAATGAAAACTCAGCTTAGTTTTGAACTATATCTTGAAATCAATCGCATCTGGAAATAAAAAAATCACACATTTGTTGTAATATATTCTTACACACATATTGCAAAAGTCAAAGAAGAAAAGGTTTTCCTCAAAGAACAGCTCATGAAATAAAGAATGGTGAATTCTGTGATTTTTCATTCAATAACAAAAAAACAGCCAAGGTTGAATAAAATATGATGCCAAAGAACAGCTCATGAAATCAAGAATGGTTAATTCTGTGGTTTTCAATTCAATAACAAAAAAACATACCTGCTGCTTCCAGGATTTCCTGCCATACTTTTCGATACAACGATTCTGATTTTGTTGTCATCAGAATGAAAACTAGCGGAACCGTCTGCTGATGTGAGGGAGCGATACTTCCATGAACAGTGACGAGTTGCCGAAACAAACAAGGAACCGTGGCAAACGTACCATCTGTAACCCAATACTTTGCCTGTCCAAGACGTCGTTCATGAGTTCCAAAAATTAAGGCTCTTTCATTATTGTCACCGAAGTCAACAATCAATAGACGGTCTCCATTATCATCCTTCTGGAATTCATCCGGTAGATTATGCCTAACGTCCATTATGCCTAACGTCCTTTATGCCCAACGTCCATTATGCCTATCGTACATTATGCCTAACGTCCGTATGCCTAACAACCGTATGCCTAACGTCCGTATGCCTAACGACCGTATGCCTAACGTCGTGCACCCGTGTAATCAAATGATATGACGGAGCGTTTACGTCCAAAGGAAATTAATGATCATTTGTTGGCATTCAAACTCAGGCGATTAGTTGCGCACCGTTTATAAAAAGGTTAAGGAAATGTGCATCTTCATGACAGGATTACCGGATTTTTTCGCTTAAGGAAGTTCAAGATTTTCTTGCATCGTTCGACTCGTAGTTCCCGGATGCGGTTGGTAATCATGTGAGTTTTTTCTTCCGTGCCTTCGACTTCGACCCGCAATCTTCCTTTACGATCTTCCGTGCCGTAAAGTCACTGATCCCGTGTTCCTTTGCCTTTTTCCTTATTGAACGCACTAGATTCACCCGAATCTTCCTTTTGATAGCAGTGATAACCCTCGGAACCCGAGCTGACCTCGGACGACCTGTGGCCACCTTCGCGGATAGTTGTCCTTTCTTTTCTCGGTCTAAACCCCTTTTGACGGTCCACCGGGACACTCCCACGGCGATTGAAATGTATTTTTGCGACATTTGCGCGTGGGACAAATCACGAATACGCTGCCACTTCGTCATGGTGCAACTGTCAAACTAAGTAAATCATTTTCTTTTATACACAGCCTACTACGGTATGAGCTATAGGTTACGTGCATGCAAAGAAAACCAAGGCATTGTATGCACAGGTGAAACGGGGACCTTATTTGAACGATGGTGCAAACATTATCACGCATACGGTATATATAATACTAGCTGAGTGTGCCCGGCCTTGCTCGGGATTCAATATTAGCTTGAGTTTATGCGCCAATTACAAAAAGCATGCTATATTGTACGTAGCCCCTTATCTAAGGGACTACCCTCTATGACCTCCACATGCCAAATTTGGTTCCATTTGCTTGATTAGTTCTCGAGTTATGCAGAAATTTCTGTTTCATTTGTATGGGAGCCCCCCTTTACAGAAGGGGCGGGGTCTCGAACCATCATAAGAACCTTTCCCAACCCCAAAAACCCCTGCATACAAATTTTCACGCCGATCGGTTCAGTAGTTTCCGAGTCTATAAGGGTCAGACAGACAGACAGTCAGAAATTAATTTTTATATAGGGGAAAAATGACGGCTTCGGCATGACAGACTATTTTCGGCAACCTAAATTGAAACACTATTTTCACTGGATTTTCTTACGAAAACACTTCGCTGAATGCATGCAAACGATTCTTTACGCTTTCAGCTTCAATTCGACTATATTTTTACCACTGAGAAAAAGCAATCTAGCAAGGTTTTCTTGAAATGCAACACACGCACTACAAATTGTAGCTGATTTCGAGTTGACGATAATAGAACAGCAGATTTACATGCAGTTCAAATGGAACGGTTGCCGAAGAAAAACTGGTTGCCGACAATACTCGCTCTCACTAGAGAAGATTGGAGCTTTGTAAAAGCGTTTCAAAACAGTTTTTGACAATTCTTTCGACTGAAATTGTTAGAGCAGCTGGCAGCAAAAGATTGTAAACAAACCAATACTGCATATGAGTGCGTTCCTTAGAGAAAAAGGCTATAGAAAGATGGTCGCTGCTTAGGTTGCCGAGAATACGTAAATTCCCCTATATATAGATAACGGGTGTTCAATAAAAAATGAGAATTTTTTCAGTCATATAGCTAGTAAAAAAAAAATTTCAACGAATTCAGTATTTTTTATTAAAAACATAATGTTTATTCTTCAAAAAAACGTCAAAGAATATTGGAGAAGGGGCCCTCGTGAGCCGTACGACGCAACTTAGTCGCGATGCTCTCACAAGAGCGCTAGACGGCACTGAAATCATTCTCTTTTTTTTTTATTGAACACCCGTTAGATAAGAGATAAGATAAGAGAATAATTTAGCTGACAGAGAAAAATTGTCCGATCTAGCATGGAATTCCTTTCTAGCCGAGACATCATGATCTTGGGATTGATTGAATCAATGCCGAACCACTTTACCACATTAATCAATTAATTAATAACCCGACAGTAATGGGCGATGGATTTCTTTTGCAGTTCTCTCAGTGATGAGAAACATCAAGTGCATACATGCCGCACCAACGACCAGTTCGATTATCAAATGATGTTGCACAGTTGTTTTTATTGACCTTCATCTTTCGTTCCTAATTCGTTTTACCTAGCAGTTTTGCTTCGGGTAAATGACGACTTCGGCACTTCTTAACCTATTATCGTCAGGGGCTAAATGAATGTAGTCCTTGAGCGCTGATTTTGTGCGTGAAGCTGCATCATATTCAGCATCGTTTTACAAAACAAAAATAACACTCTAAGACTTCATTGCAGCCGTCATTTACCCTAATTAGATTTTTGTTTTCAAATTGTTCAACACGCTAACCTAAGGGTCAAAGTTAATACAAAAATAAATAGTACAAGATTATGTGCAGTAATATTTACACTATGCATTGAAAACGGGGTTTTCCGTGTTTGCACGTACCTATCATTCTTTTCGCTCTTTTGTTATGTTTTATCTCCAATGGGGAAGTGGGCGAGAGGAGAGTGTGAGAGAGAATATATCAAACCGGTCTGCTTGTTGTTGTGTTCCATCGATTCGCTTTTATTAAGGTAGGTCAGTCAGGAGCTTTCGCGAGACTTCAGACTACTTCGGCACCAATGGGTTTTGATTAGCTTAGAAAAATCAGTTTCACTCTCTTCTTGGTACTGACTAATTCACGCAACGAGAACGATCTAAACGGGTGGCTTTCTACGGTATTAATATAGATAAAGTTTAAAGACAAATCCGTAGCTCTGCGCACATCGTACGTCTCGCTTCTCCTGCGGTAGCGTTGTTGATATTTTTGATTGTGATTATTACTCCTCACTACCTGTTTTTTTTTTCTTTTTCTACTGAGTCAGTGTGTAGAACATATATTGGTACTACTCGAACTCGTTTACCTATTCACTACAAGTTAGAGACCCAAATGGTTTCTCCTTGCAATGGCTTTTGTTAACACGTTTGATTCACCTTTTTTATGCTTGCGACGAAGTTCTACAAAATTGAAACTAGAATATACACACTTTGGTTGATGAAATTTCTCACTTCGATTTCGTTTTGTATTCGATTCACATACATATGTATCATTTTGTTATTATCATAGTTTAAAATTAGGACAAACACTTACATTATAGTTTTCAACAGTTTTCCATTAAAAAATCAGAGGATTATGATTGCTTGTAGAGGGTGTGACCTGGAGGAAGAGACAGATACAATTATAGAAATCTTTTAATTTATCGATTATTCATAATGGGATTTCTAGTCTTCGTCAGACTTATATATAAACTTTAGATATTATTGGCAGGCATTAGAAAATTAGTTGGTTAAACGCACATATATTGTGTTTGAGACCATCCACACGAACATTCTTAACCTTTGAGAACTCGAACCAAAAAATAAATTACCTACTGTACTTTTGAACTCGCTCAACATGAAACTAAATATGTTGAATGAAATGTAATACCTACACACTTAGAAATTATCGCCGACTTCGGTCATTTTTACCGAAATCTGAACAGCTGAGCTATTCGGTAAAATTTATGTAATTTAATTCAATTGCTTTTCAGCTACTTTGAAACTAAATCTCCACTAAAATGACAAGATTTAATCATTTAAACAAGGTTGAACATGTTTTGATATTATTTTCAAATTCAATTGATTTCGGTAAAATTTACGGGAACACGGAAACAAAATTTTAGTGCGTATGTCCAAAAGACCAATGATTCCCGGAAAACATTTTCCCTGAACGCTTGAGGCGAACCAGCCCCTGGCTGCAAACCTCCTTAATAAAGAAAACTTAACATTCCCTGAATGACATTTCTGTTTTTTTTTATTTACTTAGCCGAATCAATGAAGGCAATGTTGGCAACGAATAAGTTATCAAGCAAAGAAAGGATATTTCTAAAAACCAACACCTTTCAAGAAGTCTTACTTCATGTTTCATCCACAAGGCCAAACATAACAAAAACTATAGAACTAGAAAGAACTGCTCATGTTTAGAAGAATGAAAAATTTCCTACGAATATCAAATTTGGAAGGAAAGTCGGACAATCATGTTGTACAACGTGTGAGTACTGAAAGGTTAAAAAATTACGACGAATTTGCCTGTTTTTATTTTAATTGAAGCTCTTCTATGTTTCTGGAAGATTCCAAAACTTTCTCTAAAAGGTCTTTGAACATCCCTTAAAAGTATTCAACTTATGCAACAATCTTTTTTGTGTAGTTGCTAAAACAAATGATTAATAGAGAAAATCAATAGTATTTCAATTGTTTTTCAATAGTTGCTCAGTTCAAATCTCAAGAATTCATATGGACGAGAATAATGAGCACTTTTAAAACTGTTGTGTCAACGCAGTCAAAAACTATGCACCTACGCTGTTTCGCATTATTTGTATTGTTTTTACTTTTACTTTTTACAATTCGATTAAACTGGAATGAGCGAATAAATTTAACGAAGCCGTTTTTAAAGAACTGCCGGCCAGAGCCTATCTAATGGTTTATCTGCAAAATCATCAGGCGATAGCATTAAAATCTTAATTAAAGGTACCACCCGTAAGGCTTTCGATGACTAAACAGCCGAAGCTACGCTAGCTCATCCATTAATATAAAAACATTCCAATTAAAAACAATAACAACATTAAAGCGAACTGCCTACTGACCTTTGGAACCAAGCGCACCATCAGCAATGCTTCTTCTAGGTTCTACTGCTCTGTCACTAGCCATTGTCGCATGCATGCCCCTCGCAGTTGCCCCAGAACAGGCAATTCCCGACACCGCTGTTGCAGATCAGGAACACCGCCGCCAAAAACACCAAACTGCAGATCGTGCACGGTTTACGCTCCAGGAAGAATCCGATCAGGTAGAGCACTATGAACATAACATGCGTCTGCATCAGGGCCGGGTTCGTCGGTTTCGGAATCAACAGCACCGGAATCAAACATTGCAAGCAGTACATGTCCCCGTTTCGGTCTTTATGTTGCTTTCCTTCCTTTTAAACTACAATGCAATGTTTGTTTTCGAGTTTCCTCCGCGCACAATATTTTGATCTCGATGAATCACTTTGGCCACTTCTTTTTCACTGTCACTCATGCACCACCCGACTGGTTGCTTCGCATTTGGTAATGCTACTCCGACAGCGTAATTGCCTCGCCATTTAATGCACTTAGCTTCGAACGAACGCCTCGCGAATGCCAAACGAAATTAAAATGATTTTCCATCAAACTTTGAACCGAAGCAAAACTTTCATTGATACTCTTTTGTTTTAGAGGTGAGCTCCCACAAATTCTTGTTCTTTTCCGTCTGACAGCTGAGCACCATCTGCGAATTTTTGTTGACAACGTTCGAATGTTGCGTTGGACGCGTCAGAAATATCGAATCGCTCTGATGCTTGTGCTGTCAGCATCGAGGTCAGCATCGTCAGTGCGCGTTCACAAATAAAGCTAACAGCAAAAGATACAGTTCGACACTGAGCATTCATTAGGGCCAATGACCAAATACCACAGACAGACATAGAAATTAAAAAAAAATGCTCCAAAAATGGCAAGTGTGTTCTTGTCCTTCTGCCGATCAAAGTTGGCTCGAACCAGACCCCCTGACCCTGAAGGTGATACTCTAAGGAAGCCTTAGCGTGAAACTTTAAAGGCACAAATGTCAGCTTATACAAAACATACAAATTTGAAATTACTACTCCTTGTTTGCTGTGCTACTAAAAACAGAGAGTATCAATTTCAAATTTGTATGTTTTGTGGAAGGTGACATTTGTGCCTTTGACGTTTCACGCTAAGGCTTTCTTAGAGTATCTAGAGTATCACCTTCACTCTTTGGAATTTATAGAGACAGATAACATCGCTAATAGGTTTGTGACGATACAACGTTGAACTGCAGCGTTGAAAGAAAACACGCACACCAACATCTATGCATGTAAGAACCTACACCACCGAGCGGAGGGTACAGTGCAAATCAAAACACGAAGTGGTGTCATCACTCAGCTCTGGTAGCTTCAGTTTGGTATTCCGGTGGCGTTGACAAATACCTTCTTTATAAAATCGGAAAATAATCATTATTCTAACGTAATTTTTGAATAGATGCGTGCAGCGTTGGCCAAGGAAGACGGCATATTTATTTATAAAGCAATAATTTAAATACGAGTTTTTCGAAATATACTTTGTCGTGACCGGACCGAGGATTCCAGCCTCGGTCATGGCTACACGAATCTCGGCTGCTACGGCCGCTCCGCTTTCATTACTGCTGCTGCTACTATTGTTGTTACTGCTGCTGCTGTTGTTACTGCTGCTGCTGCTGCTGCTATCCGTCGCTTCCAAAGTTCGTTACAAGAATGTCTTCAATAAATTTAGGTAGCTCATATTTATACCATCCGTTTTTGACATAGGACTACGTCTTTGATTTCTATATGGGGGTACACTTTGTGAAAACCGAAAATGGAACATGTAACAAATTAAGAAAGATTTTGAACGTTAATAACTCAGCTGCCCCTGGTCCAATTTCAAAAAATTTATCACCAATCGATCAGAAATATGGCTACGCATCGATAACAATTCCGAATGTTGATTTTCAACAAGAAACTATTAAAAAACTGGTAATTGTCCAGCATTGTCCAAAAGCGTCGAATTAACTAACAAATCCACCAATTACCTACATTCATATGCTGCTTCCCCAGCACAGTCGTCAGAGAGTAGTAAGTAGACGAAACAAGTCGAATTGGCATTCGCCTCCGATCCTCGGGCGTGTGCGAATAGAGAGGATGGAATTGCGTAATATTTTGCACACTCATCGCCATACTCAGAACCACACACTCCCAAAGACCACACCACTGTGTGGTGGTGTTCGGTCGTCGAAATTAGTAGCAGCAGTAGCAGTGCTTTCAGCGTGTGGCGTTGAAAATTGTTCTCCAGTAACAACGAAAGTCTGCCTGCAAGCAGCGAGCTGCAGAGCCCACATAAGCAACCATTAAAGGAGGAAGAAGCTGCACCGCTATGCTATGGACCGGAAACAGTAGCTCTTCGTGAGTCGCTGCGGGTCGGTCATCTATGCCAAGTGGGTCACCCTCACTCCAAACGACATACAGCTCGACAGCCTTATCCGTGTTAACACCCAGCTCAGAATTACTCAACCATCACTACAAAACGGTCCTTTTCAGGGCCAACAAAAATTTGTTAAAGAGTATTATTTGGACATTGGTCAAGGTCATCAGTTCCCGCAAGCAGCTAGCTATCAAGGCTCAACCTGTCTATAGAAGGTGTGGAATTGTAGGCCTGAATATATTGGTGCAATTAGTTTTTCCTCGGCTTTCATTCCGCACGATTTGTTTCTTTCGTTTAATCAATCACCCTTGTAGTGACGTCGAAAAGATTGTTTCAATCGGCGCTTACATATGAAATTTAATGTGGATTATAGATTTTTTTTGTATGTAACCAAAATTTATGAATGGTCTGCCATTAAATGTTGAGATAATTTGTTGATTATTGAATTATCACACTGTATACGATGAAAAAGCAGCCTGTTTGTGAGTTTTTGCCTGTTTTCAAGTAAGGAGTTATCATAAAAAAACAAATCGCCAGCTGGTATTTCCCGGCGACTTTACAAATAAATAAAATCAAACAAAATCATCATGTAGAACTAACTAGGATTTGTTTTACATCATATTTCACAAAATTGCTTTCGAGTGTTAAGACATCGTCTCCCGCAAACTTTACATTTTTACCTCTACCAACACATACATCAGGGCTAGATAGATCTCCACAGGATCTATAGAATCCACGCAATTTCGAAAAACCAAAATGCACAGCATTACGAAAAGAGGTCAGGTTTCGACCAATAGCAGATAGATTTTAATTCTAAACAAGCCAAACGATTGGAAATTTATCTACCAATCTGCTAAAATAAAAACTTAGTTAATTTTAAATAGGTCACTATTGAAAAATACCAAATGTCCAACTGTTGTAATGGTGATCAAAATTATCACCGAATGTCTGCAAACAGCGCATTCCCTAACACAGACTTAAAAATAGAATTCGATGCGGTCCCACTGAACGGTGTTCATTCAATCACCGTAAGTGGTGATGTCTAGTCCAGCAGCAGCAGTAGTAGCAGCAGCAGCAGCAGGAGTGCTTTCAACAACAACAACAATGAAAGGCTGCCTGCAAGCATTGAGCTGCAGACCTCATATGAGCAATCATAGAGAAGGAGGAAGAAGTCCCACCGCTAGGCAAGGATCGGAATCAGTAGCTTGTTGTGCTCAGCTCAGCATTACTCAATCATCACTACAAAACGGTCTTTTTCAGGACCACCATAAATTTGTCAAGAGTATTATTTGGACATTTGTCAAGGTCATCAGTTTCCGCAAGCAGCTTGCTATCAAGGCTCAACCTGGTCTCTATATAAGGTGTGGAATTGTAGGTTCGAATGTATTGGTGAGATTAATCATCGTCCGACCATTTTCCAGAACACGCTGGTAGAAAGTGTTAAAAATCCATATAGAATTTGAGAGAAGTGGGAATAATTCACTTTGGGTGTATATTCAGTCCCCAGAAAGCCAATAAAATCAAATTTGTGAGAAAATTAGCTCTCACGAGTTCAATCTCTCGAAGTCTCTCCTTTTTTACATATTCTACACAAACGTTACTTACCGCCCCGCCCCATTCATATAATTTGGAAGGAAATCTTGTGAGGGGTGAATGGAATACACTTCAATACCAAAATGCACAAAACTTAAAAATTCATAAATAACAAAAAAAATCAAAATACACCTTTTAAAGTCGGGTAGATGAATCGAAAATACTCAAGTTGACAGTCTCTTGGATTCTCTTCATCATCTTTCTCTTTGAAATAAATACTACAAATTTGATACGCTTACAAATAAAAAAACGGAAAGAGGTAAGATAATTGATGATTGATCAATTAAAAGAACTAAATGTTCATATTTGTTCCGTCCACTAGCGGTCCTACGTCAAGCTTCCGTTCGTGCCCCAAGGCACAGACCCTTCTACTTTTTTCCTCATTTATCCAGCACTGCTTGCTGTGTCAGGATTTCCTTTCACATCTGTCATGCTTCACGCTAATTTAGCTCAACTCAAATGGAGTGTTGCATTACTTGACACAACTCTCAAGTATTTTATTTATTTATTTTATTATTTTTATTATTCCACCCCTAATAAAAAATAACCATAAACGAACGATAACCCTAATCATTGAACTATTCCACAAATGGTTTGGATGATACCCAGAACACGTCGTTAAGCAAATTAACCATACAATTTTTATTAGGGACATCAACCGTATCTACCACATACTTCTATGCTTATAAAGATTATGTTGAGCAACAGATTCACAAATCATCCATTTTCGATTACTTTTTCGAAGGGATGTATCTGCTATTGTAAACAATGCATCTTACTGATACCGGTGGTGATATTGGAAACTCGTTCACTCGAAAGTAAAACATTACAAGTCCAGCTTGGGTGTGTTCTCAAGCGTTTCTGTTGCGTATAACGTGGTAATGATTGAAAATCGATACAATCGTTACAAAGTAAGAATGTTGCAATTGAATCGGCTGGCATATGTCATACTGACACCTGTCATTTATTGAGCCCTGGTAGTGAAGTTGGCGGGGGACTCCTCACAGTTTCAATGTGTATTCACTTGATGTCACTGCGATCACATAAGGGTAGTGTATCCATTACCTTGTACGAGGAATTAATGGGATATCTTGTTAATTAAATATTTTTGCACGAACCCCTCATTTTATCTGTCAAACTTTCATAGAGATAGCTGACGTTTGTCGAACGCACACAAAATTACGTATACGTATACGAAAAATGTTTTCATCGGAAAAAAAACTTCATAGTGGAAAATTCTCCTGATGAAAACAAATCACTGACACAAGCACACTTTAGCAATCACTAAATGAATAAAAAAAAACATAGTGTAGTGCTAGAATTTCGACTATAATGGGGTACGTTCATCGATGTACTTGGGACTGAAATGTCATCCGGTTGAGGTTAACGCCGGAAAAACTTTTAATCATTCGAATTTAACTTAAATTTGCACGGCGAACGAGAATGACTCAAATTAGAGTTTAGTTCACTCATAATCGCCAAAAGTGCAGGAACTCAGCGATGAGTAAATTTGCCTCATGTTTTCCCAGGTTTTTCCAGGATTTTCCAGGGAAAAATTCCCGAACTTGAGAAAAGTAAAGATTCACGGAGAAGAATGAGTCTAGTTTGAAACAACCAAAAATATGGTTGAAGTTCAAATTAATATTCTTGTTGAATCAAAGTCAATATTTTTTTGTTGCAAACCAGTGAGTTAATTTGAAATAAACGACTTTATCACCTGGTTTCTACCCATATAATCGTATTGTCTCAACATAAATTTTGGTTGATTCAAACTAAGGGTATAGTTATTTTCAAACATAAACAGATTTGTTTAAACCAAAACTTAGGTTGTTAGATACGTATTATCCTTAACTTTTATCTTTGTTTGAATCAACGTAGATGTTAGGTATAAACAAACTAAATTTTAGGTTGGGTAAATACCAACCTAAAAAATATTTGGAAACGAACCAACACTTCTGAAATTGCTTGTTTGCTGGCAAATCGTTTTCAATCGCAAGTCGCATTTACAACGGTAATGTGTTTAAATTTCAGTGAAATAAGTGAATACTCGCCTAAATAATCTACCTCAAGGTAAGAAAATATGTTTTCGGTAAAGGTAATCCACTGTTCGAGAAGAAAACCTTTTAAAAAGGACGATTAGAATGACTTGTTACTGAACTAATGGTAAAACTTTTATCTTGCGAAGTTATCTTTTTACATCCGGATTTTCGTTTTGATTGGGAGTGTTGGGATGAATTGTGTATTTTAATGGAACCAGTGGTACCTCAATGAAATATTTAACATATACAGAAATCATGTTCCGGAGAGACTGGTACCGATCAATTCAGTTTAGTGTTTTATTTAAAAGTACAGAAATTTTTCAAACAACGCGATGCGTTATTCAGTCCACCCACCCATGTGAGCATCCCGCACTCTGGTTCTGGACCTCCAGCCGCTCAAAAAAAAAAAACAACTGGTAGTAGGTTAAATAGCAGTATGATATTGATTTTTCCTCTAACCAACGGCCAGAAGTCCAAGCTGGAGAACATGATGGTCACGGTCACTATGCCCCTCTTACTCCTATATTTGTTTGTATTTCAATAAAAAATGGCATATGCACATGTTCGTTTAGAGTAGCCATGAATGACGAAAAAAGGCAGAACGGTTAGAAACTGGTTCCTCAGATGAATCGAACTCGGATGTTCTCGAAGACGATGTTAATGAGGAAGCTGACATATCGTACGAAGAAGTAAATTTCGAAAACCTCGCTCTCGTACAACTGCTGCAATGCTTCCGAGTGTCGATCGAAGTGATCAACAAGTTTCTTGGTAATATGTCAATCTCATTTATTCAATACATAACTTTAAGACTTGTTTTATAATGCAGTAAACGGATATGATTTGGAATCTCTCAAAATTATTGAAAGACAAGAAATTGAGGAACTTCTATGTGAACCGTACCTCGGAGATAGGACAAAGATTATCCATGGATTGAATTTTTGGAGAAAATCACAGGTAGCAACAGTTATTTTGCATTAAACAACAAAATTATGGAAAAGTGGAATTTAAACTTTTTTTTTTAGAATCTACCGACCGTGTCCTCTCCACTGAAGTCACTTCATAATCTAACCCAGATTAAAAATCAACCGGAAAACATTAAACGAGAAAGTCTTTCAGCACAATTCCTTGTTAATAATTCTGCCAGAGGAAAACAAATCCTTGAGAACTACAGCTCATTACATATTCTGACAAAATCACACAAGAAAATAATAACACATATTGTGGTTGACGAATTCAAAGACAACTTCGGCAAACTCTCCCATAATGAACTTCTGAGTCGAGCATCTGAGTTGAATGAACTATTTCCATCTGAATCAAAGGTGATTAGGTTTCTTTTAAGTTATTTTTTATTTATTTCTTATAATTTAAACTACTCATCAAATAGTACATGTGCCATACAAAATATTGTTTCATACATTTTTTTTCAGGACTCTTGGTACCAGCCAACATTTTCAATAATCGCAGGGAAAAAAATCAGAATTGGACGACTGCCGAAAGGATGCCTTTATGACAGAAATTGTAATTACACTAATCCCAAACCGATGCAACCGAAATCAAACGATAGTGAAAATATTACACCATCAAGTCCGTTCTCAGATGTCGATTGTAAGATAGTTTTATTTAAGGTCAAAGATTGCAATCTTACTATCGAAATTCATTTCAGGGGTTAAGTATCAACAAGCGAAGACGTGGATCAGACATCATCAAGACGAATGGCCTGCTGTAATGCAAAAATGGGCATCAACTAGCACTTTTCGAGTTTTCGAAATATCGAAGATAGAGCAACGGTCGTGTGAATTAATTTTGGAATTATTCCCGGCTCTCAGTAAGCCAGACGGGTATCAACTAGCCCGAATCGATTTCGACTCAAAGTTTCCAACAAAAAGTTCTGCTCTATTCGATAAATGGAATGAATTTATCATATCAGTGAAACCTATTATCGAGGCAGATGTGACTGATAAGTCTGGTAAAGTGATTCTTAGTTTGCTGGAAGGTGAATTGAACGAAGGTAAACGTTGTCTCAAATAATTTGAAATAAATTCATGTATTCTTTTGTGTTCAGATTGCCGGGATGCTACATACTCGTTGCTGATTCCATACATTCTACCGTGTGCTATACTAACCCTCTCGAATAAATCAAAGTGGAAACCCAGTTACATTGAAAATCGTAATAGTTTTGTGTTTTGGGTGAAGAATATAACGGACTTACAATCGAAAGTAGAAACCCACCACAAGTCACGTTCTAAGAATACGGGAATGCAACAGTGTCCATTGGTGATCGTCGTTGGACCTGATTTATCAACGTTGAACAGTTTCCTCGTATCCTTTGGAGGCGCTTTTTACCAGCTACCCACCTTCCTGAAGGCGTTGGACATTTGCTACAAACTCTACAAGATCTACAACTTGTCATTTGCTCCGGAATGTGCAGGATCTTGGAATCTTCTTAATTACGTTATTTACGGGTTCCAGCTTGAAAGCGCTTGTAGAGCGAAAATAATTTCGATCAGTAGTGTGATCAACGCCAGAAGTTAAATATGTTCAATTGTCCATCATCAAAGTGCCGATGGAAGGGTGCTTGCATTGATCAATATTTTCCCCACGTCCAACGGATGCACGACCCTTTGAATGGATACATGTGCCTACACAACTGTGGCCGTTTACTGACATCAATCACTAGTCTACGAAAACACGTGTTATTATGCAGAGGTAATAGTACATCAAAAGAACAATCTATCAAGGAAACAATCAACCATTTTGAACAAAAACTATCTGTTACCTGCGACCAAAATAAAATTGAGGCCGAAAATCAAAGCAGCTCTAGAGAAAATGTTCAAAGCGAAATTGAAATCGGAAATCAAAGCAGTTCCAGAGAAAATGATCAAAATGAAATCGAAGTCAGAAATCAGCTCCAAGACTCTATTGATACTGGAAAACTTGTGACTGTTGATGCAAATAGATTGAGTTTGAGCATGACCTTGAAATGGCTTAGTGAAAATGGAATGGCAAGAAAAGTGGCATTTGACATCAATAGAGATATTAAGCGGAATGTAATCGAGCCACTGAGTTCAGTAATTAACGATCTACAAATGGCTGGAGCTATGACAAATGAAGGTAAACAGTTGCTGGACTCGATGCTTGGAAGCTATAATTGCACATCAGAGTATAAATTCATACAGCAGCTGAAAACAGATGGATTTTACGAGGACCCGACGTTTTTTACTATCAATGAAGAGCTACTTCTATCGTCTGCGTGTCTTGAACGGGTATTACATTTGTTTATTTCTTTAAGTACGAAAGTATCGATAATAAGTTTCATTTTTTTAGGGTCATGAACATATACAGGGAGTGCTGATGCCAGTTAAGTTCATGCTACGAACATATTTGCAGACTGATGGAGTATTCAACACGATTATGAACAGTTTGAAGCTTTCGAAAGATGGAGTGATCCGCACATTGATCGACGGTTCTATATGGCAGGCGAGAACTGCAAAAATGTGTTGCAGAACCGTGATTCCCATCAATATATACTTCGATGATTTCACTACCAGCGATACTTCCTCTTGTCATTCAAAGTCAACATCTATTTGTGCCATATATCTGAATGTTCCATGTCTACCAGCTTATCTACTAGGGAAATTAAGTAACATTTTAACTGTAGGATTCGTCAAGAGCGAAGATAGAAAAAAGTTCAGTAACGATAAAACTCTTTCCAAATTGATTGATCTATTGATTGATTTAGAGGTAGAAGGCATCACAGCCAGAATTGAAGGAGAAGAGAAAAAAGTGTTCTTTGTTCTTGGGTTTATCCTTGGAGATAACCTAGGAGTAAATGGTATTTTAGACTATGTTGAAAGTTTCAGAGCTCATTTTTTCTGCAGAGTATGCAAAAGAAAACGCAGTCAGACGGAGACAGATGTTAAAGAATACCCAGAAGTTTTTCGTACTGTTGTTGGTTACGAACATGACGTTCGATTGAACATTGTTTCAAAAACAGGCATCAAAGCTCCTAGTACTTTCAATAAAATTCCGTCTTACCATGTCACTGATAACTTTGTTTTCGATATTATGCATGATATTTTCGAGGGAGTTGGAATTTATGATCTTCAGCATATGTTGTATTATTTTGTTTATACCAAACAGTATTTCAAACTTAGTGATTTTAACGAGAGAAAAAATAACTTCAATTACGGCATACACTATTCAAATAATATTATACATGATATTCAGGAGAATCAAATAAAAATGAAGAGAATCAAATGCACTGCCAGTGAATCTAAGACATTGATCACTTTCCTTCCGTTGATTATAGGCCCTCTAGTTCCTGAAAAAGATGATGTATGGCAGCTTGCATGCGCATTAGTGAAAATTGTTCACATTTCACTATTGAGAGAAGTTCCGTACGCATTAGTCAATGAGCTTAGATCGATCATAAAAGTTCATCATACTCAGTATGTAAAATTGTTTCAAGATACCCTAAAACCCAAACATCATAACTTAGTACACTATCCCAGTGCTATTTTGAAAGGAGGTGCTCTTCGATCACACTGGTCAATGAGATTTGAAGCTAAACATAGAGAGCCTAAAGCATATTGTAAAATTAACAGTAACCGTATAAATATGTGCTCATCTATAGCCATTAAAGCCAACTTCAAGTTTGCATACAATTGTATCAATAATAATTTCATAACTCCAAAATTTGCATATGATAATAGTCAAGTATATTTGAATCAATTCCAACCTCAACATGATCAGTACATTGATTTTAATTCATACAAAATTGATAAAACATCCGTTAAATTTTTAAAAAGTTTTTTTAAATGTGAAGCACTCTACAAAAGAGGATCAATATTCAGTATCCTCTTAAAGGAAACAATTAGCATTTTCGAAATAATAGAAATTTTTCTAAGCAACGATAGTGAATTGTTGATTCTATGTAAGAAGTTTCAGGTTACTAAGTTTAACGAACATTATCAATCCTATGAAATGCATACAAAAACTATAACTACGTTGGTGAACAACATAGAGTCCCGTGATTCTGAGCTTATTAATTTGCATAATGTAAATGGCACTACATATTTACGAACATGTAACTATTACAAAACTTAGAAGAGAAACAGAAATGTAATGTAAACATTATTGTATTTGCCAAGGAATATCTCAAGTCTAATTAATAAAATAAATCCCAGTAAAATATTCAAAATCTGTACAAGATTTGTACTGGCGGTGAACGCATAACTGTCCATGATCTATGCAATACGACTGTTTTGCTTCCATCGGCTGTCTAGATATATGAAAGAAAACACAAAAATTCAGCAGGGGTAATAAAAAAACATTTAATTCTAACAAATTTGTTGGTTGTATCAAACGAGATCGTTGGTTACTTCTAGCATTTCGTTGTTCATTTCAACCAACGAGTTAGTTGGCATTGAACTAAACTTTGTTCGGAATAAACTATATGATTTGTTTGAATTTACCTATGTTTTATCAGCTGTCAAAATCAAACAACCAACATTATGGTTATTTAAAACAAATGTTTGTTGAATTTAGGTTGGAAACAGAAACAATAAACAACCTCACATTTTAGTTTATTTCAAACATCAAAGTTTGTCAGGGTAAACTAAAAATATGTTTGTGCAATTTTCAACATGGAAATTTGGTTGAAGCAACCTAAAATATGGTTGTTTTTACCATACTTTTCTCTCCGTGTTGGATTCACTCAGTCTATTGGTACTACTCCAAGACTGAATAAAATTTTCGTCAATTTCCTCATTTTCCGGCAGATTTTTTAGGTTTTCCACAGAAAACCATGAGACAAATTTTACTCATCGCTGAGTTCCTGCACTTTTGGCGATTATGAGTGACCTAAACTCAATTTTGAGTCGTTCTCATTCGCCGTGTCAGTTATTGATTGATAGCGTGAATTTAATACAGTATTCTGGGTAAATTTCAAATTGATCTGAGGTAATTTGATTGAGAGTATAAGTGCTGTCAGAAATATCGATAAAATATCGACAGTGGTTTGTTTTCTCCAGTCGTGGCGCGAAAACCCGATGATCCGTCCGCATCAGCACACAACATTATTAAATTTTTTTAGCTGCATTGTATATTTTTCTGTGGTTCTTATTGTAATTTCGAACGAAGAAGTGGTTGTATTTATTTAAATTCGATCAAGATGCCCGAAGTACCCGAAGTCGACCAAAAAGTGGATGAAAAATTTAATCCAGACTCCCTGCAAGACCTGCTACCGATCTACTACAAACGTCTGTTCCCGCACTTGCAATTTTACCGATGGATGTCGTATGGTCTCTGTAAGTATTCTTGTGTTCAACGTTTCCAATCCATTCGAATCACAATTTTTATACTCTTCAGCCGAGGCATCCGTATTTGCAAATCGCGAGTTCTCATTCACCCTACAGGATGACATCTACATCCGATATCAATCGTTCGACAATCAGTCCGAACTGGAGAAGGAAATCTGCTCGAAAAGCCCATTCAAAATCGATATCGGAGCGGTGTACAACGTTCGACCGAAGGACCACCGTGCCAGTACGGTCATGAAGCCAGTCCAGCGCGAACTGGTATTCGATATTGATATGACGGATTACGACGAGATTCGAACGTGCTGCAGCGAGGCCAACGTTTGTCCCAAATGCTGGAAGTTTATGACTATAGCTTGCAAGGTAATCGATGCTGCCTTGAGGGAAGATTTCGGGTTTGAGCATTTGCTGTGGGTTTTCAGCGGTCGTCGAGGTATTCACTGTTGGGTTTGTGACAAAACGGCGCGGCATCTGGACACCAAAGGCCGATCGTCGGTTGCAGAATATTTGCACATTCTGATAAGCGGCGGAGAAGGATCAGTGACCCGGGTCAGTTTGGGTGATAGAATGCATCATTCCATCAAGAGAGCTCACAAGATCATCGAGCCATTGTTTGAAGATATTTGCCTGGTTGAGCAGAATATGTTCGGGGCGCCAGATGGGCTGCGGAAGCTTCTGGCAATGGTTCAGGATGAAGGAGTTCGGCTCGATTTAGATCGGAAGCTGAAACCGCACGAAGGTGATTCGAAGGCCATTTGGAAGGCTTATGTGAACTTTTTCGAATCATTCCGGATATCCGGCCACAATAAGGCAAGAAAATTCAAACACATCATCGAGGAAACGCAGCTGGCTTTCACCTATCCGCGAATCGATATCAATGTCAGTAAAGGATTTAACCATTTGCTGAAGTCTCCGTTCTGCGTTCATCCCAAGACGGGGAAGGTGTGCGTTCCGTTCAATCCTAACGTTGCCGAGAAATTTGATCCAATGCATGTTCCGAACATTACGTGAGTAGGAAAACTAATTTCGCTGAACATACACATACACATTTGTTATTCTTTTGCAGTGGTCTACTGAATGAAGTAAATGCCTTCGATGAAAAACTTACTGCCGACGGCGAAGAGGAACGATCGCGCATCAAGGACTACAAGAAAACGAGTATGTTCAAGGGTACGGTCATCTTTGAGGAGTTTCTTCGCAAGCTGGAGCAAACATTCAAGGGAAAAGCGATTCTGGCCAGTGATAAGAAAATGGAGTTTTAGCGCTTGGTTTCGTTTTTTTTTGTAATTTCTTGAAACATGATTTTTTATAAGTTTGGAATATAAACTACATACCACCATGCTACTTCTTGATTGTAAAAATACACCTACATTCTCTTAAATATTTATGTTCACTTGATACTTGATACGCCATGTATCTTTAATGTTCCATCTGTCAAATTTCAGTGAAAATTCAACAAATGGAACAGCATCAGAAGGTAACAACAGTAACTATCCATAATCGCAAATCAGTCCCATAAGTATAGGAAATCAAGAACAGATGGGCCCGTTTATCTCCGTGAAAACCCATATTTATCAACCGGGCAGGTGTATATAACCTTTGTTGCACAAGACAATCTCGTTTTCGATATTATCTAAAAAAAATAGGCCCTAATGTTTGTTTTTATTTGTCTCGGTTTCAATTCCTCCACAACCCAACTGAACGCCAATTGCTAGTTAAATTCGGAGGCCAGATCATGAATTAGAATTGCCAGAGTGAATGCATAAAAAAGAAGAAAGAGTTGGAATTAGAGCGTAACAGTTTTTGTTAACAATGACTTCCTTCGATGATTTTTTGGCCTATCAAGGCTTGTCCACGCAAACCAACATAACAATAGGGCAGGGGAAGTTATTCCCTACTCGATGGTGATGATGGTTTGCGTGGGTGAGCTGTTACGTACTAATTCCATCTATATCTAGATATGGTGTCTGTAGTGACTGAGACAACTGTTGGAAACAGAATGAATATTTATTTATTCCAATGGTGACTAGATCCTATACTATAATCAAAGATCCTACATCTCTCCCTTCTTTTATACTATAAATAAGTCAATTAATTAATCATCATAATTTAACAAATTTAAGTTATAATCATTCAAGTACAAAGGCATTTTCTTCATTCGCTTCGGCCGTGGTCCAGGTTGAATTTCAGTCTTGTTCTCTGGTACTACTGGATTGGGTATTGAATCGGATGTTGGACTATCAACAGCATTCAAGTCGAAATCAGGTGCAATCGGAAGTTCATCATTTGTCGATACAGGATTCTTACTTCTAATACGTTTCGCGTGGTTAACATGTCGGTTTGATATGGCTCCATTGATAAGATTTTCCACGATCAGCCGTGTTCCTTCTCGAAGGTGTGTTCGGTTTTGTCTTTCCACGAAACCATTTTGGAAAGCGGCGTATGGAACTGAATGTTTTATGTTTATATTGTTGGTTTTGCAGAAAGATAGAAAATCTCCCGAAGAAAATGGTTGGCCGTTGTCACATATTATTTCGTCAGGATATCCAAATCGAGCAAACATTTCTCTTAACTTTTTGATCGTTATCGCAGCTGTCATTGACGTAATTACGGCTACTTCAACAAATCGGGAATAATAATCTGTAGCTACCAGCAAATGAACCCCTGATGTAATTTCCATAAAATCTATCGCGATTTTTTTCAAGGCCTATTGGGCATGTCCGATCTCGTGATAGGGTGAGTGTCCGGCTCTGATACCAGAATACAGCCGTGACAGTTTTTAACGAATTTTTCAACCATATCATCCATTCTAGACCACCATACTTTCAGACGAAGTCGACGTTTCATGGAAGATATTCCTAAATGTGGCTCGTGAGCTAATTCTAGAATACGGTTTTGTAGGCACCGAGGAATCACAATCCGCTGATCTTTATATACCAAAACTCCATCACTTGAAAGATGGTTGGTCAACTTTTTGTACCTCATCAGAGTTTTGGGCCAACGTCTTGAATTATATGGTAGCCATTTAATCAGTTCTTGAAGCTCTGTATCTTCATTGGTTGTAGCAGTAATTTCATCAATTGATAGGGCTACAGGGCAGGTGTCAATCGCAACCATTCTTACTATCCTTTCGCATTCTTCATCAAAACTTGAACTGAAATCTTGGCTTGACTGGCATAATCTTGAGAGTGTGTTTTTGTTTTTTCCCGGACGGTACATAATTTTGAATTCGTAGGACATCAACCGCAATTTCCAGCGTTCAATGCGTGGTGATGGTTTCACTGGATCTCCAAATATAACCACTAACGGTTTATGGTCGGTGATCAGGAAGAAGAATTTACCGTATAAATAGTAGTAAAACTTTTCACAGGCCCACACTAAAGGGCCACCCACATTAGATCCGTTTGCGTTGCGTTGACGTAAATTTGACAGTTAGACAATAGATTTAGCTGTCACTTTGCCGCAACGCGTCCGATCCGGATCTAATGTGCGTGGGCCTTAACGCTAAGGCTTCTCGCTCCGTCTGCGCATATCTTCGTTCAGTTAACGAGAGTGTCTTTGAAGCATAGCAAATTATACGATAAAGGGCGAACACGAAATTATTGCGACACATTCAACAGGGCATAACTTTTTTACCATTGGGTAAAAATCAACCAAATTTTGCACACTTTCTCATTGATGTGTATTGTGTACATGCTGTCAAACTCCAAGTCGTGTTTTTCGATTCAACGAAAATGGAGGTGAACCAACGCGAGTTGAGAGAACAAATTCTTTCCAAACACCTGGAATTTCCTGACCTGTCGCACCGGCTGTTGGGAAAAATGTTGAACATTCACCATGAATCAACAGACAAACAGACGTAACTCTTCATTGTGTGTCTTCGTTCATGCATTTAACGGTTGATTTGAATATTATCAGTTTCGCGAACTACTCGCCGCAGCGCTGGCATCGGATCACTTTGACGTTTCTATATATTCTATAGAACTTTTATGCAATATTGTTTACGAGTTAGCGAGCAAGCTTGTTTTCCGCGAGAAGCCAGAGAGATGTCGTTACTGAAGTTATATGTTTTGAGATACTATGTTTTCAAGAACAAGTTTTTCAAAGAGTTACGTATGTTTGTCTGTGATTCAACCATAGAGGTAACTCTAAGACTAGAAGGTCCCGAAATAACGTGCTCAACTTTTTGGCTCAGCTCTGGTACTCTCTTCGGTCCCAAGATAATCGATTCACCCCTCGAAACATAGGAAAAACCTGGGTACTGCGAACACAGCCGTTTTTGTTTTGCAAGTCAGCATGAAACAACTTGAAAATTTTCCGATATCACAAATTGTTTTGCTAATGCATTGCTCACAATTTGCATATACATGCTGTCGAAAGTTCACCCTTTGCTCCATAAACAACTTGTACATGGTGTTGGGAGTGCACCTACCCACATGACTCTTATAATGTTTGTTTGCATTCTTCCTTCAGCAGTTCGTGCAGGTTCGTTCGTTCGTTACATTGTTTACATCCGAGTATTTGAGAAAGTTTTTTGTTGAAGAATATAGTAAAAAAAATGCCGAAATGACAATATTTTCAACATTGACCACAATACTTTCTCTGCCGACGGGGATTGTATGAGAAAAGTATCACTTTTAGCAGCTCTAGATCGTTGGATTCTTTTTGACAACCATTTCGTGTTTCTCCGCACCACTCAGGGAAAAACCAATAACCCCTCATTTTATCTGTCAAACTTTCATAGCGAATCAAAACAAACATTGCGTAGTACTAGAATTTCGACTAGAATAGGGTACGTTAATCGTTTGCTTGGGACCAATAGGCTACTAAAGTGGTGAGCCAATTTAAAATCGTTAGTTTCGTATTGATTGTTGATTCAACCGTCTTCAGAGTGTTGAAGCGGTTCCAGGAGCGGTTGACGTTGGACCACGGCAAAGGAGCTGGAAGAAAACCGGGACCGGGGAACAAAAAGACGGAGGGAAAAGTGAAGCGGATGATTAAAGCAAATCCCAACGTCTCAAGCCGTGATTTGGCTAAAAAGATCGGCATGTCGCAGAGCTACGTCCAGAATGCAAAGAAGAGAGCTGGACTACATACATACAAGGTACAGAACTTCCCAAACCGCGATGAGCGGCACCAATCGACGGCTAAAACTCGGGCACGGAAGCTCTACGAGAAGATGCTGACAAAATATGGCTGCTGTGTGATGGACGACGAAACGTATATAAAAGCCGATTTTAAGCAAATTCCGGGGTTGGAGTTTTTCACCGGCAAGAGCAAGTTCGATGTGGACGACAAATTTAAGAAGAAGTAAATGTCGAAGTTCGCCTCCAAATATCTCATTTGGCAGGCCATCTGCTCTTGCGGACTGAGGAGTGAGCCTTTCGTGACAAAGGGCACAGTAAATGGCGAGATCTACAAATCTGAGTGCCTCGAGAAGCGCCTTTTGCCGTTCTTGCAGCAGCACGACGAAGCTCCGCTATTTTAACCAGATTTGGCATCATGCCACTATTCTAAAAGTGTCCTGGACTGGTATGAGGCCAATTCTGTCCATTTTGTTCCAAAGGACATGAATCGGCCAAACTGTCTGGAGCTGCGTCCGGTGGAGCAGTACTGGGCAATAATGAAGCGGGAACTTCGGAAGAGCAAGAAGACAGTCAAAGACGAGAAGGACATGGTAAGAAAATGGAAAAAAAAACTGAGAAACTGGTACCGGATGACACTGTAAAGACTTTGATGGAGGGCATCAAGCGAAAATGCTTTCAATTTTACACTCAAGGCTCCATCGATTAACTTTTCTTTTGATTTTTAAAGTAAATATATGTATAAAACTACCCTAAAATTTTGGTTTGATTCTAAACATTATAAGAAAATTGGCATGACATTTTCGGTGTCGCAATAATTTCGTGTTCGCCCTTTATTGTCCGTTTTTACTTCTTTGAACAAGAACTGCTCCGAGGCCAACAGGACTTCCATCAGCAATCACGAAGGTATCTTCATTCACATCGTAGTATCCTAAAGTTTCCTTCTTTAGCAAAATACTTCTAATTTTTTCAAACGCTTGTTGGTGGTTTGTGTCCCAGCTAAACGTTGTCCCCTTTCTTGTTAATAAATTCAATGGATAGGTTATAGTTGCCATGTCTGGGATATAACGGTGAACGAAATTAACCAGACCTAGAAAACTCTTCACTTCTTCCGTAGATTTGGGTGGATTTAACTTTTTAATAGCGTCCAATTTTTCTTCAGACCTATCTAGCTTTTCGTTTGCTTCAGGTGCCATTTGTCGGATTTTTTTGTCTTTCATAGGTCTTCGACACACGTGGAATGAAATACT